TGTGATTCGAGACAGTGGAACTCGGCCCCAGAACTGCAGAAACTTCTCATGCAATTCACACAGTACTTGGAGACGTTGCGGTGGCAGAAGGTACCGCCCAGGACCGTATTGCTTGAGCAACTTAACCCGAGTTATCTAGCACCAGATGATGCTGCATCACGTTGTCGATGACTCTCCATCCTCAACCACAAACCATTGTGCATCCCTGTTGACACACTTAAGTAGATTGAGGCGAATGTGTCGAAAGCTTTCATTCCTGTTTAGCGTAATGTGAGTGAGATGGCAGTAGTTTTGCACCTACACCAGCTGTGAAGAGAAAGTAGGAGTAGAAGCTATGTAGCTAGGCAAGTGGGTCCGATCTTACCTACATGATATGCACCGGCGGATGCCAAACAACGGTAAGCCCCTAAAACTGTCCAGTTTGAGGTCATTTCCATGTATCATGTCATAAAGTTACACCGTTTGGGATTGTCTGCTGACCTACCGACTGACTGACTGGAGGGAAGGCTGTTCAACGCGTAGTGAGAAGTGTCTTATATTGTAACTTTCGTTAAGCTAACAAATGTATTACTCACTGATCCACACACAGCACACCTACACACACTTCCGAGGCACCAGTCCACCCATCCATCCATCATCACCACAAGGCCATGCCTGCTTTGCATGTGTGTGTGTTTGTGTGTGCTGCATTGTGCACACAATCGCCCATCAGGAGTTGTTCACTTGCTGGAGGTCAAAAAGCAATCATGCCTGATGTCTGCCTGCTTGATACGATACAGCTTGAACGCGTGCAAGCAGAAAAGCCTCCTTGAATGGACCTGGAACTAGTCAATTAGTGGGAAAAGTCGTCAAGGTCACGCAAGATATGACCTCGTACCGGCACAAGGAGGTACTGCCTAACGTCATTGGTCTCCTCTCCTTCCATATTGCCCCCATGGTGTTTCGCCAAACCTCATGTGATCGCCGCAATCTGTCACTTACATCAGGCAGCCGTCACACGATCGCATGCGAAGTAGAATAGATAGTTGAGCAGGAAAAAAAGTGAGGGTTAAACCCTACATAGACTTTTAGGGGACAAAACGGTCAATTTCAGTGGTGTTTGCACCTGGCATGTCTCGTCGACAAAGGTTGGGTAGACTGCAAATGTGAACTTGCAGTTCAGCTTTAACTTTCCATGCCCATTTAATTTATCGATGAGAAAAGTGCAGGAACTTATTCGATTGTCATATGTGCACTTCTTGTCTGCGAATCTAGTCCTCTTAAACTCCGTTGAGAAAAATTGCCTGATTTTTCGCAATAATATCTGCAATTGTTGTAGGCTTGCATTGCTTATGGAATGCTCTCTGCACCTCTTCGTTGGGATCACTTCTATGGCTTAGTCGAAGATATTTTTGTTCACTTGATGCAAATTGTAATGGTCTATCGAAAGCTTTAGTCCTGTCTTGATCTTACATCATTTTTGGCAAGTTAGGTCATTCTATGTAAACAGGACTTCACTCAGAAACGGGCTGAACCTACCCCCGAAGAGCCAATACAATATTTTGCCCAGCGAGGAGATAGCCAAGAATCCTCTCTTGCCGTGCCTCGTCTACGACGCAACCTACATTCTCCGGTTGATTGGTGAGTCTTTTGTTCCTGATATTCTATGATTTGAGGTATTGTGCTGCCTTGCGTTGAAATTAGAAATGCCATGGGAGTACTGCTGCCCACTTAAGATGCACATAGCGCTGCCTTTATGGTTTTTTATGTGCCCCGGTAGGCAATTGCGCCATGTGTGTGGTATTCTTAAACTTTAGAAGTTTTTATTTGTGTCGATGATGACCGAATTCGAATTACATGAGCCTTTAGGAATGCTGGCATAATTCTACTAATACTTTCCTTCTCCTCCTCCATTTACTCCGCTAAGTTCAAGATCTGGGTGTACTTCATTATCTTTACTGGCTTTAACATTAATGGTATCATTGCATTCGGTCTATTACATAGGGATTGACACAGACCTCCGTTTAAAACTGACAATGCTGTGGATGTTTTTTTGAATGTATTATCACTGCATGTGGAAAGCGTTAAATCTGTGAAAAGACATACTTTATCGCTGGTTGGCGACATTTGTTTTAGTTAACACATCACCTGAATTACTCCGGACAACATCCTAGGATTTATTTGCATAATGATGATACCCGTTTTAGGACTCATTAAAAAGATATGCAAGCATGGCTAACAATCTCATTGGGTTTGGAATTTTACTTTTTTGATGGTAGTTGTAATGCTAATTGGCTGGAAGATGCTAAAACAAATCTCAATTTAACTCATTTTACACGATAACCTTCTTTGGCTAGACTGATACGACGTCTTGTTCCATTTTTGCGACATGACCTCTGCTATGGCTAAGGTATAAAAGCTCTCATTCAGTGGTCTGTCTTGTGCCGACTTCAAATCCTTTACTCCTGCTGCTGTTTTGGTTGGACTATGCAACTCATACTGAAATGTGGAGCAAATTGTCTCAAAGCATTTCCTTAAGGTGGCAATCGCAGATCAAAATACAGCGATGAGGAACCTTCTAGATGGCTAAGTGAAGAATCACAAGCAAAATTAGATGTCAGATATCACCCCTTGCCCATCCACCCCAGCTATCACAATGGACCTCGTAGATTTCAAGTCTTTTTTACAGCAAG